AGACGCCGTTCTCCTGAAGCCAAGTGTGCAGAGGTTGAAGCATGCTGCGACCCGGACCCGGGCGGTCCTTCAAGTTCAGGGACAGGGCTGCCACAGGGTCCAGCACTTCGTCATCCATGAACTCCATGAGGTCTTCGAACCTGGAAAAGGCAAAACCCTTCCTGCACTTCCTGCCGTTGTGCCGAGGGCACGCTTGCAATTGGACAGCGGTTGCATAGCTGAGTGCTCAGGATATGTATACGAGGCCAAGGTGCTTGATGCTCTTCGCATCCTGACCGTTCACGGAAGCCACGACCCAACCTTGCATTGTCAAAGACCACTTGGCGGCGAGGCAGAGGCGTCCATAATTCATCCGACGGATGGGGGGATGGGGTAAATGCATTTTTTGCCGCGAAAGCCCTTCAAGCCCCCGTGTGCCCACCCGAACAGCCAGTGGTGTGCGACTGGTGATGTCAAGCTGGCAGGAAAATTCGGGACCAGCAGAATGTCGCCAGCTACGCTGCAGATTCCGCCCAGCCACCCGGCTGAACACCGGCCACGAAAGCCTGGCCCTGCGGGTCGCCCGGGTAGCGGGACTCCTGCTTCACCTCGCGGAGATGATCTGGTGGCACATGGTGGCACAGCCCTTCCGGCCCTTCCCACACACTGCTCACACATCCTGCCACTGCAGAAGCGAACATGATGCCTCGCGAACCACGGCACCGTTGCCGTTTGCCCCCGGTGCGTAGCGCAGGATTCCGAAAGGCTTCCTTCGCGGCTGGACCGTGCATGTGGGATCACGTAGGCATGCACATGTGCACAGGTTAAAACTCGGGCTTGACTCTCGCACATCGCACGCTGCACGCGAGTCTCCGTGACCTACAAACAGCAAAGTCAAGCTCCGGTCTCATGCGTACTGACCTGTTGCTACGCATGCCAACAAGGCACTTCTTGAACTCGATCTCGTGGGTGGCACCCGAGGCAGTGCTTGGCTCCATCAACGGAGGGTCAGCATCCTTCGGGCCGTTGCGCAGGAGATAGTCAACTCCCACACGCCGCGCCACTTGGGAGCCTCCCCTCAGCTGGGGGGAGGAGCCCACGAAGGCACCGCCAAGCCGACACGCTACGAAGGCCAAGCCGAAGGCAGTCACGACGGCACCAGTGACGGAGCGCGAGCGGGCCATGTTTCAGTAGATTTGACGGCAGCCTGAAAGCAAAGTGCACTGTTCGAGCCTTCAGCAAACACTCTGTGAATGGAATGCCGGAATGCCCCATGCCCCTGTCGACAGGCTGATGTCCACCAGCATGACATCCTGCAGAATTAGAGCCCTGCGAGGCCAGACGCTGACAGCTTGAACACCCCAAGGCAGCTGCGGTGGAGACGGTCTCGTCGTGCCTCTGACTCCTCCGCTGTGGAGGCCAAGGCCTGGCAGCGCTCCTCTACTGCCTATACTCCTAACATGTCCTTACACGCCCATATACTATTCCTTACTATCCCTTCCTCTTTCCATCTTGCTCGTTTCGGAGTGGTCACGGTTGCATAAGATCCGCCGAGGCTGGAGGCCTGGGGCGTCTTGCCCCGCTTTCAGAGGAATGAAACACGTCCCCTCCTTGGGCGATTCCGGCTCATTATATATCTGATCCACGCAACGGTTCATGAGCTATTCAGGAAGTTTTGAAGAGCATGGTGGGTGAGAAGAATCACAGACGGAGACGAGGAAACTAGGTCAATTAGGTGGCTTTTGCATCACTTTTACTTCGTGGGTGCGTACGGGAGCTGCGTCTCCAAGGTGTGCGCACTCGTGTATGTCGTCGTGTTTTTATCCTTCTCACTGAACATTTGCAGTAAGCCCAGTCTTCGAGGTGATAGGTACACAGGCCTCCGTCCGTACATACACACGACTGCATTGCATACGCGCTCATATACCGCTACATTTTATATATATACACATAAGCATATACATGTACATATACATATACATGTACGTATACATACTCATATTCATATAATACCTCTGTATGTATGCATATTTACATGTACGTATGTGTGTTTGTATGTATGTATAAACGTATGTATGATGAACGTAAGAGTCTATCCATGTATGTATATACGTATGTATGTAGGTCTGAAATGTGTCTAGGTATGCAAATACTAATATACATATGGAAGTATGTACATATGCATGTATGCGGGCATGCAGGTATGTATCTATGTATGCATGTACGCACCATGTCGTCACACATGCTACCATACCAACCACCAGCTTATCCAACAAGACCATTTCGGAAACCACATCTAGATTCTAGATGCAGAAAAGCAGTATTCATGTTGTCAACATGCACTCTCCCCTGGAAACACAAATTTTCGGACACTATGGATCCTGTCATACGCAGGCTTTGCAGACACCTGATAACTGTATTAGTTTACGGCACCCGCAACTATTTTCTGGACTCCCGGTACAATGTGCCAGTTTGCACAAGTAGCACAAGATTGGAATCTTCGTAGCATCTGGTACACTTTGACTCCGCTGCATCGAGTTAGTTGTGCATGACCCGACCTAGTAAGTCGCAGTAGCGGGCTCAATGAGCAACAGCACCCCCGCCCTCAGAACGCAATTGATTGCAGAAACTGGCGAGCTGTGCAGCTGTGGGTTTGAGATATCCGTACCGAAAACGACTGGGCCTGGCCGCAGTCACACAAGAAGGATGTTGACATCGCCTGACAAGCTCTCACCGCCTTAAGGGTGCCATGACTCTGAAAAGCAACGGCCGCGCACAGACACACACACACACACACACACCCACAGCCACAGACGCAAAAACACACGGGAATCGGCAACAAGCCCAACAAGCCTGCATCGTGTCATACACCCGGTTGCACCTAGGCAAGTAGAAAAAATCCCATGGCTTCTTCGCATCACGTGGTCGGAGGGTTTCAAGAGCAACTGAGGGCAAGACTTGTTGCAAACATACCTCGATTCATTTGCTTTCCAGTTTAGGCAGGGCAAACTCTGACTTGCAAGGAGCCCCACTTCCACTCTCAATTCTGCCAGAGCCACTCACAGAAAGACATGATCTGGCAGGCCGCAAAGCCCTTCTGCTTAGCTCTGCTGCCCAGCGGCTGCTCTTCAGCTTGTGCAGACAAGGACATCTCCAGAAGCTGAAACCTAGCGAGATGAACAGTACTATGCAGAGTTATCAGAGTATTTGCAAGATCTTGCAAGCACACAGAAATCTTTCCGTCGCGGGGTGAGGGCGCAACCAGCCACCCTTGCTACTGTTGCGGTGCAGCTCCGGGCTCGCCTTTGGGCTGCCACTGCAACGGCAACCGGCGATATGCGATAGAATGTCTGGAGTTTGTCTCCTGGCAGGAATGGCAGAAGCAGTGGAAGCTGTGTGAGCTTGGGTCAAGCAGAAAAAGGCATCTGAGCATGCGCAAGCAGCTTTAAGGAGAACTGCATACGATGAAAGCGTAGATGTTAACACGGTCAACAAAATTTTCAAACAATTTCATGCTGCATGCGTCCGTTCAAGTTGGGCAACACATGCTGCACACACGTCCCGGCCTGTCCCTTCGGAGCATCTGTCAACGATGCAGTCAGGGACAAGCCTGATGGAAATGGCTTGCTGGGTTTGCTGACGGAGCGACTTTCGTTCGGCAGTGATACAAAATCGCTAAAAACAAACTCGATGCGATGCCGTATCCGAAAGAATCTGCTACTCTGTGATTATGTTGTCCCTGGAAGCACAACCGGTGCCCGATCCTAAGCTAGATTTATGCTAGACACCCATCCAGTGGCAGACAAAACACGTCAATGGCAGCTGCAGCAGGCCAACAAGTCTTAACATCCGAGAGAATCAAGATTCAGCGATAGCCATTGCCTTCTTTCCAACACTTGCCGCACTTGCCGGTCAGGCCTCCGTCGAGTGCGTGCGTTGAAAGACAAGGCTTTGCATATCCGATGTTGTGCGATGGGCTCAAAGAATGCCCAAAGTGCTGCACATCAGCTCTGGCAAACGAAACAAAAACTGTCTTTCCCCTGTGCACGCCCAAGCACGCACCAACCACGCTGACTAGTCAACTGCCATCACCTGGTCCTGAGAATCCTGAAAGGACCAGGCAGTTGCAGAGCCCGTGCAAGCGAGACATCCTTCATCATGGCCTGTTGCCGGTACCTCAACACATGCACAGCCGAGCTACGAGCTGGCAAATCGAAGAATGGTAGGGGCCAGGCCACACATCAATTGCATTGAGCACCACTTATGTGCAATACCCTCGTGTAGCCCATACTTGTGGAAAGAATCACCTATTCCCTCCCGAAATCATCGAATCCTTCCAAAAGCTCCGCAAACACTTTGATGCCACACCGCCTTCACAGTGAGCGACGAGTCGTGCAGCTCAGCTCACAGTGGAATTAGCCGGAGCTCGTGGTCCGTACGCAACCAGGCTCCATGGTTTCATGCAACGTGGGGAAAACAATCATTCTACAATCATCCTACGTAGCATCGACTGTGATCAGGCAGGGGGTGGTCACATGTCGTCGACCCTTTTGCATTGTCTCGGGGTGCAGTGGAAAGCTGAGTAACCGAGTAAACTGCCGATCTTGTCACAAAACCTCGCCTCCAGGACAAAACACTGCCTGGGCTGGCTCGGTAAACGCTACTCCGCTATAAGGCAAACTACTATCAGTTACTATCATCGATCGGACGCTGACTTTCACAGAGTCCGAAAGCTTGGTTGTTCCTCTTCTGGGCAAGAGCCGGCACAAGCACATCGCTCGTGCATCCTTAGCTGGTTTCATCAAACTTTTAGCACAAGAACGCATCTGAACTGCATGTGAACAACGACCAACAAGGGCACCCTTCTGCTTTACGACCACTACCTCCTCTCTTACAGGTTGGACATCGCTGTTCTGCTGAGCCAGGCATCAGCAAAATTACGGTATCCAACTGGACGGCAGCATAACCATCTCAGACATAGAGCGCCAGGAATGCCGCCATCCACAAGTTGGTCCTCAGCCTCACTTTCCGGCCTCCAAGGCAAAAACGAAGGCTTCCCAAAAGCTGCCTGCAAACTCGTGCATGGGCCTGCACTTGCTACCGGTTTGAAAGTTGGCCGATCAGATCACTCGACAGTTGCAGGGGTTTTGTGGCCGTCTTCCCCAATTTATCTCCGCCTTGCCCTCTCGCACTCTCTGTCGGCAAGGACCCAGTACCGTCCATCGTGTTCTCAGCTGAAAGCCGATCATACATGTCAAACGGTATATACGTTGGTCCTTTCGGGCTGACCGGGACTGACGAATCTGCCGACCGCTATGCAGCATTAATCGGGTTTATCTGCAATATGTTCCCAACAACCTGCAGAAGTGGAAGTCTACCAGATGCCACGAACTCAAAACCTCGATAATGTGTTTCCAAAGCGGACCATCCTGGATCCTCCGAAGCCAGAATTTTAATTTTCCTGGAGTCACGAAATATGTCCACTGATGCATGGAGAAGATGGTTCTCCTCAATTTGGTGCCTTGAATCTCTTGCAGTTCCCTGCAATGGAACGTTACAGTATCTTGTATTGTATCATACTACTGAGTTACTACTGCACTATTGTATGTATTTCATATGTATGTTCTTGAAAGCCTGTCTGGAGCTGGAGCTGGGCCTTGGCCTTTTTGGCCATCATCTTCTCCCATTCGGCCTTTAGTGCCTCCTGGCATCTCTGGTCCATCTCCAGGAGGTTCTCCTGCCCGAAAGCTCTTGGGCTCTTGGGCTTCTGCCGAGGTGGGCACAGCGCCCAAAAGCTTCAGATGCCTCTGGATAGTGCTCTCTTCAGGGAGGACGGCTTGCCGCTTCTACTTGCTAGGCCCTCCTTCGACCCCGAGGCCACTAGAATCTCACAAGCCGGCGGCCTTGGTGTATGGATATTCGACTTCCTCTGCATCTGCAGGAATCTGTCCTTGATCCTGTTGGTGTGGAGGCATGAGCAGTGCGAGGACTTCAAAGTAAAAATGCGCTGGCATGACTGGAACTGGCTGCATTGGCACTCCTTCATCATCTTGATGTACATCTTCCATTCCGCAAGGCACTCGTCGAGGTGCTTCTCTAAAGGATGAGCCTTCATGTGCTTGTACGCCTGTCACGATAAGCGTGCACCAGCAATTGTGACTACACCAATGTTTTGCAACACCTTGCACCGGCCTTCAGCTTGTCAGCTTCAGCCAACTCCATCGAGAGGTCCGGGAATTGAGTCTGGCAAGGCATCTTGCAGTGAAAGCCCTGAAGTTGTCAGCACTCAGGCGCGCCTGCAAAATAACCATCGTTGCTAGAACATGGGCGCCCTTGTAGATGTAGTTGCACCTGCGGGTATATGCAAGATGCCCACCACTCCGAGAGAATCTGGCCCGCAGACTCAGGGACTCAGCACTTCAGGCAGGGGCTCGTAGTGCTCGTCTCGGTTCTGCTTGGGCAGCCAGTCTCGCACACCTTCCACTCAACTACACTTCCAATCTAGACTGTATGTGTGCGTGCGAATGTAGACACACAAGTACACACACACACACATATATATATATATATATACACACACATATTTTTGGGATGAGGGCAGACATGTATGTACGTGCCCAGGCATGCCTCCTTTTCAACGTGCATGTCTGACCCGCCACCTATCTGTTTACGCAGGAGCTGCCAAAGGCTGCGAGGCTCTCTGTATGTGATTGCACACTGGCGCATGGACGGCTCTTAAATCGAGCGGTACGTTGGCACTTCCCATTGCATGCAGACAAGGACATCGTCTCCGATTTTGCCCATCAGGGTGGCAAACACGTCCCCGTGTCTGTCTGCTACAGAGCACATTCGAAGCACAGTGCGAGTAGAGCATTGCACCGGTGATTGATTACTGCACCCCGAAGCAGTGCCACGTATGACAACATCATCAGAAAAAAGGGCTTTGAGTTTCAAGGCGTATGGTATCCTTCCAAGTGCTCCAAGCGTGTATTATATCTCAGCTGCTACACTTTGCATATTCTATATCTTCGTTACCTATTTTACAGGAGGTATTATACATGCAACTGCCTATACTTTACATCCCATGTAAGATCTACATGCTACAGGTATCTGATATCCTCTATTCCCATTTGATCTGGCACTCTTGGAGCTTGTTTTCCCCCCACATCGTGGTCGGCGTAGCAGTTGTAGTGCAGGACACGGGGCTGCTCGACCGTACCACGGCGTACTCGAGAATGCTCGGGCGTACTGGCGTACTCGTGCATACTCGGGCGTACTTGGGCATACTGGCGCATGCTCATGTGCACTCGGGTGTTCTCGGGCGTACCCGCGAATACAAGCGCTTGATTGGGGGTGGTGGTGCTTGTGGCGGCGGTGGCAGCGGTGGCGGTGCTGGTGGGGTTAGCGGGGGCGGCGGTGGTGGTGGTGGCGGTTCAGGTGGGGGGCCTTTATCTCTGCAGCTACCGCCCAGCTGCAGAAGCAAGAGAAAGAAGGGGAGCATCCACTTGTCGACTGTCATGAGCAGTTGCCTAAGAACTTCTCCGGGTGGTCGATGAAGTATCTGTTGGTGATGATTTGCCCAGCGTAGCCTCAGCAAACAACCAGGCATGGACAAGTTCATCCAACCCTGGTGCGACTCATTCAAACTGAACCCAGTGTGACTTGGCAAGCCGCCTGGGGCAAGGCTGAAACCCGCGAAGTTCTTGGCTTGTACACCTTCCCATGGAACAGCGTAACCGACAAAAACACAGGCTAACAACCACCCAATAAGCAAAATAAATCACAATGTTGCGCATGGGCAATGGCACTTTCAGCTCAAGTTCGTGTCTTCGGTATACGCAAGGAAAAGAAGCAGCACTTGTTGAATGGCCTTTGGCTGGAGCCATGCATGGCATCAGAGGCTCGCCATTGACCCACCAGCCCTGATAAAACTTGAAGCCGATGATGTCGTCAAAGTCCGTGGCCCCGTGGCTTCCCAAACACTTCATGACCACCTGGGCCGCGGCCACCGCATCACCAAATCAGACAAAAAAAGTACAGAGGAACCCCTTCAGCACCAAAACGATCAGCTGGCTTCCTATACAAGCAGGCTGTACCAAACCATGGGCTGCCTATGCCCTATGCGCGCACCGTGCAGACAGCACGAGCCCTACACGCTTTCCAGGTGTGATTATTTTGCGTCGCCAGATAGAGCTACAGCATCAGGCCTGTGCTGGTCCATTTCTTGCATGAGCAACTAAACCCGAGTGCAGGTCAGGGGCATTGCACTCCAACTCCTTGCCGTCCTTGAGGTGGACCTTGCCTGCTGGAGGACTGCACGACACGAATACCGTCTCACATCTATACTTCGCCCGAAGAGGTAGGGGCACTCACCTTTGCTGAGCTTGTCAATCTCACCTTGGATAACCTCGCACACCTGGGCAGGTTGCAGATTCTACACTAGCTTGGTTTTTGAGTTCAACAAACGGCACGCAGCACAGCCTAGTTCCTACACGAAAGAATGACGAGGTTAGAGGTGTACAGCGGCGTTTGAGCACCTTCTCGCAGGAGTGAAGTACTCAAGCAGCAATTAGGCCATGTTTAGAAAGGTTGTTCCCCCTCAACACTTGGACCGACACCTTGTAGTAGCACGCAAGGAAGTAGATGTCGGTAACGCCGAAAGTGGTCGTCTGAGTCAAGACGGCGCTGGATCGATCGGCATTGGCGTTCACAACTGGATGGGTCCAAACGTCAACTCCCAGCAGACCCTCAGATTTGGAGTCTGTGTGTGGGTTTGCGAGGCTTGAGGCAGCTTTAACAACTCGTAGGAATGCCAAGAAAAATTGTACTTCCACAACGCAACAAGGGTCATACATCTTCTGGAAGGCTTCGACGATGAACGGCCCTGGAATCGGAACGGCAGCGCCACTGACCATCCAGGAGACCATCTTTGGTCCCGCCAAGTGACGATGCCGACAGACTACGTAAATCTTTTTGGACTTTCGCTCCACGCATGTGCGGACGTTCTCGATGGTGAAGCCTCCGTGACCTACAATACCTGGAGCGTGCAGTCTTGGCATGAGTCTGCAATGCCGTGACAGGCTTCCACATCGACTCCACCGGACTGGTCCGACTCGACGCGGCTTTGTGAGCGCCATGTCACATGTCAGCTAAGCTACATACTCTGGCATCTTTCAGCTTGTCGTAGTCGATGCCATCGTACGAGCCATGGGTGACGTAGCCTGCAGTGATTTGGATCAAGAGCCAGGGTCGGAGCAGTCGCAAGACTAGGAGACCCGCACATGGTGCCACCTTCGTAGAGTCTCTGTGCCAAGAAGCCACCAAACTCCTCCCGACCCGGCCATTTCAGGTCAATAGGATTGTAGAACACACCTGCATGGCAACGCGCACCAACAAAAACATGCCACATTGTGCCACAATAGTCTGCCGCAGCGACATCTGAACAATCGGCTGCCACAACATCTTATGCATTATGCCGTTGCAGTGGTCAGTGCGCTTTCGAACGGAACTGAGCTTTGCGCCTGGGCAGGACACAAGTGCAGAGCACTTCAGGGATTCCGAGGAATCTTCGGTAGTGATGCTCAGCTCCTCGGTTGACTGCACTTGCCCACGATCCATAGACCACACTCGCACAGTCCCCTCGTGCTGCTTCGACATGCTCAACCTACATCATGCAGTGTTGGCCTAGACTACGTGATGGAAGACCAGCCCCGATTCGCTTTGACATGGGAACACCCCAGATGAAAGACAAGCTCCACGACAAAAGGGGGCCCACCAGTCTTGTGATCCGGTGATTGCAATCTTGGGATGTAGATGTTTGAGCAGAAGTACCGACTAGAAAGAGACGCAAGACCTGCCGTATCTGTCTCTGCTATTGTCGGCAGCGGCTACGGGAAGGCCAAAAAATGAGGTTGTCAACTACTGGACATCTCAGTGGCAATATGCCCGCCGGCAAGGAGGTCACCCTTCACTTCGACCTTCTCGAGAGACGTATTGAACCTGAAGTACACTCATGTCAGGACGTCGAGGCTTGCAGAGACAGGCCCTGCACATCTAGTCCAGGGTTCGCCCCTGATGTGCATCGCATGCATACAACGTCCCGTGTTCAAAAGACACCACTTGACGAAAGAAGTTGGAGAAGCGCGGCAGGTTGGAACGTGATCCCGGGTGATTTACAGCAAGCTGTCCAGCTTCTGAAGGCATCTTGATGTGCAAGCTGCGCTGTGCAAGTGCTACCAGAACCAGGGGTTGCAGCGCTTGAAGTTTCAGATGCTAGTCGCCCATCACGTGCGCAGAGCTTTCAGACAAGGAGCTTGGCCTTGTCCTCCAGGCCGTGCTTCTCTGCACAAGCAACGCACATGTCCAGGATGCTGTCACGCGAAGGCCAGGTCTTCTGATCCTCGTCAGGCCCCTCTTCAAGCGAACGTTGCAGGGCCGTGGCTGCACCACAGAAGCCTCACTTCCGGGTCCTCGTCTGCATGTACTTCTGGGTCCAAATACTCCGGAACATAAGTTCCCTGGCTGCAGATCGATGCAATCCAGCTTAGGGAAACAGCTCGCTTCATCACAACACACCAACCCATCTGGCCTCAATCAACGAAGCCTCACAGACGCCTGCAAGTTCGCCTCAAAACTACCGGGATTCTAGACGGTGAACCTTCTCTGTCTGCAACTTGGTGGTTTCGTTGGCCACATCCCGCCAGGTCGTCCCACCAAAGGCATCGTAACCTGGCTGTTCCAGTATGCTCTGCAGATTGCAGCAGAATTCAAAGCTGGGCCAGCAGCTGGCACTGGCCATGCTTTGCAAAATAGGCCAAGCGGGAGTGAGGACCGGAGCAAGTCCGTGTGTTTTGTGGAATATCGCATGAATGTGACTTACACTGCTTTGGTGAGCAACTGTGTGAATTTCCAGGGCACGTGAACTTTGCGGGCGGACCCGTGCTGTTGTGTGTCCTGTCCTCTGCCAGATCTGGCCCTGGGCTCCAGCCTGTTCACCCAATCCGGCCACTCACAACATCCAAGTCACGCTCCAAGATAATGAAGTCTTTGCGGTTCTGCCTGCGATGTGACATAAATTGCGAAATTCGAAAGGTATTTCGCTCTCCCCTCGACACTATCTTGAGGTCAGCAAAACAAACACCAGACCCAACTTTGCGCGACACCTGAGAAAGTCCACGGCCGTCATGAGGCCGCCCATGCCGCCACCTAGAATGACGATGGGGTGGTCGTACTCGCCTCGCATGCCCGAATCTGGTTATTATCCTGACGAACTTCGCCTAGTAAACTGTATTTGGGAGCAAGACGATCGGATTTCAGGTGAGCTCCCGTCGATAGTTTCAGTCGGGAGGCGTCTTCCCTCGGCGCTACCGTTGGTGTAGCCTCCGGACATGATGATGGACCTGCAGCTAGTCAGCTAGTGGCTGGCGCCTGTTCATCACTTCTTGCAGTGCACCAGCAGACATGCTCGGATCTGCAAAACCCCTTCGATTGGAAGCCGAAGCAAGAATCCGGCCAAGATGCAGCCAGCTTCAAGCACAGCTGCTCTGAGAGGAACCAAAAGCACGGGCAGCTTGAGCCATAAGCGTCCAAGAGAATGTGCGGAGTGCACTCACAGGTCCGCACGAGTATCAATCCCTGCTGCCGGCTGTCTCTGACCCTGACTGTCGAGACTGTAAGCGACGCTCACTGCTACCAGAACCGTTGACCTGCGTGTATCATGAAATCGCCAAAAGATTCGAAAAGCTGCGGCAGGAGACCGGTTGCAACACAACCGTTCTCCGTTATCCCAATCGTCTCACACCCCTCCATATTATAAGTCTCCATGCATGAAATCCCCGGGAGTACAACACATCGGCCACCGCTGCTTCTTCATCCGTATAGAAGGACACCAGCCTCGGCACAAGGAAATTGTTCGACTGATGAGACCGCCTGTCTGTCAGACCTCAAACTCTAGACTCTACGCTAGACGAAGGTGGGGCTTGGGGGCATGCCTTCATCAACAAATCGGTGACTCTCTGCGGCTGAACATCACAACATGTCTTGGGACTTCCGCATCATGCGTAGCCAACGACCAAAGCGTCCAGCGTCGAAGGTCTGCAGGCACTTCGCGGTGCGAAACATGTTTGCAAACACAAATACGCATGTGCACCGTGAAAAAAAGTGCCGTCCCATGGCATCCCCTGCTTTGTGCGGCCTGGGCCGAACCTTGCTGCGCATGCTCAGTTGCCATGCCTGCAGTCGAACTGATCTCTCGCAGCAAGCATCTGGCATCTGTCACCTATGTTGTGCTCTGCCTTTCTGGGGGGACCGGTGGGTGGGGCTCCGTCGGTTTGTGTGTCCATGCGTCTCTGTCACCGTGTCTTCGTGTCTCGATGCCCCTGTCCCTGCTGCTTTCTGCCTGTGTCTGTGTCTGACCGTGTCTATGGCAAACATAGGCGCAGACAGAAACCCAGTAAATCAGTGTGTATATAGTTTTCCCTCTGGCCCTGCCCAAGTTGCGAGGTGTGTATGTATATCATAAATATATATATATATATATATATATATATGTACATATATATGTAATTATACACAATCAAGATATACACTCAGACAGGTACGTACACATATAGTGTGTGTGTGTGTGTCTCTCTGTGTGTTTCGAAATCGGAGGTCGGGCTCGTTGGCTGTCTGTCTGTTCTCTTTTTGCGTTGTTTGCTCTGTTGTGTGCCTCGGAGAGACGGGGTGGCTCTCGGCTAGCAATGAACCGCCGCTACCTTGCCCTGTCTAAGCACTGGACTCCGGAAGACTTCCGAGCACCCTGATTGCTGAAGGAACTTTAACAAACCAAATCGACTAATGTTGAATGCTGCTCTGAATGATGCAAAACGCCTGTCTCCAGTCACTGGCACGCTGCATCGTGAGCGATGCGTCGTGCGCGGAGAGCGCCAGTGCTCTTTCTTGCTGGCTTGGTTGGTTGTGCTGAAAGAACAAATTCAAGTTCGGAGTGGGGCAATACTCGTTCAGCTTCTCAGCATGTGGTAAATTCTAAACAGCACTGATTGTTTCAATGGCTGTGAAAACCGCCAACGGCTTGCAAAGTGAACAGTTGGCTACACTTACAGTACATATGGTGCATCATGGTACGCTTGAGACGGGAAGCGGCGCACGCAGCTCACTTGCTCATGCCCATAGCCGACAGAGACAGCGGGTCCGAAAACTCTGCTGCAAGGTTCGGCTCAGCTCTCTCGCCACTTGAGTCCACACTCTACACACTAGACGTCCTAATCTTTGTGGACGACACCGCCGACTTTTGGCTCGCAAGTAGGCGATCTCGAAAGCTCATGAGCATTTAGGCCCAGGCCGCAACAGCACACTTTACTGATACCAGTAGAAGATCAGAAGTCAAGGCCAAGGCTTCCAGGAGGGATCGACACCGTGCTCCAGGAGCGGAGTGCTCTCAACACCCACATCGAGAGGCCAGCCTCGCACTTTGACCACTGCTACAAGTAGCCATTGGCCGCAGGCTTGCTCTGGTTGTGGATCTGGTTAGCGAGCTGTACTGGATGAGTCCCTATTCTCTGAAGGGCATCTTGATTAGGCTCTCGCAACTTGGACAAGCCAGACGAGGTTCTTGGTGCGCGTTAGAGTTCAGGAAGCTGTGCTTTTCCGCAGGTGCGCAGTGACCCTTGTGTCGATTGGCCTCTCGAGACTGCCATCACAGTATTATATGTGCTGATTCAGGGCATAAACCTTTGTAGTCTTCCCAAGGGCCTGAAACTGACAGCTCCTCCGAAGGCCAGCGCATGTGCCCCGAGGCCGAGAAGTCGGAAAGCTGGATGACCTTGGCTGCACTGAGCTTCCATCGCGGAGCTCTCCTCTGGCAGAACGCGTGATCCGTCAATGAGCCCTGCTAGTGCCAGAACCATTGCCCGCCAGGGGACTGCGGTCCTCTTTGGCACGCGGTGCAAGCTGTCCAAACGCTTCTCGAGCCTTGCCAGATACTCCTCCTGGCTTCACAGGCTGTATCGGCCGGAGACGATCACACTGGTTTATGAATGATGTTGGGGACGGGGATTCACCCTGTTCCAAACTTACCAGCAGCGTGACGCTCTGCATCCTGGCTTCTCCCGGAGTCTGGACACGCCGTCTGTGAGTAAGATGAGAAGGCCTCGGCCAAGGCGGAAAAGGCCAACTAGGACGAAGACAGGTTACGACACTACATATACTGCAGGACGTACCATCTGCCGCACTCATGAGGACCTGCTACAGTCCAAGTCGCAACCTTTTGTGAAATTGGGGCAAGGAACCCCTGCAAACTGCTTGAATACAGCCAGAGCTTTGAAGTTACAGATCCCTGTCGAGCAAGTAGCGGTGTACAGACATCGAACCATCCCTGCCCCACCTGGCTTGGGAATCCGCCCTCCGGCTCGGGCAGTGCTGCTCGGATCGCCGCAGCCCAGTCGCTTTCGCAGTCCTGTCACCAAGGCGCCACCGCAAAAATTGCAAACTAACTGATATACGTCTGACAATTATTGAGATGCGAAGACATAATTCGCAGCACATCTTCATGGATCGTGCAACCTTGATGTACATACTGCCACACTTTAATTTGTGACATGCTGCGCATGCACGGAAGACTCGCACACTGCCTCGCTGAGGTCTGCTTGCAATTGCTCTCCCTCTGGATCTGGGACCCTTGCAGCGCACTCGTCCTCGAGAAGGCTTGACATCTGAAAAATCTTTCAGACGCCGTTGGCATGTGACCAACCAAGGACTTCCTTCATGCCTGATGGGCCTGATGGCCAGGTCGGGACCCACGAGTCCTGACAGAGCAGAGAGGCAGAAAGGCCACTTCAGCACAAGGCATGCGACCCACCTGCACGGCCTGGCAAGGCCAAGGCCCCCAGGGCTCCAGCAGGGTCACTTCACCTAGGACTAAAGAGACCACAGATTCCGCAACCGGCACAGGACGAGCTTTCTCCAGACAGCCAACCCTCCAACACCGGCAACAGCTTCCGCGGCTAACGCCACGAGCGACTACGAGCGACATCAATAGAATCAAGCGCATCATCACCAACTACACCTACGGCAATCATCACATCAAGCTTGATTTCGATGTTTTTTCGTGCCATGTAGCTACTCATGGCGGTGGGCCAGCTGCCAACTGCTGCAGCTTCAGCAACACCAGGCCAAGACTCCATGGCTCTCTGCTTTCAATGCTAGGTCCTAGGGTCCTGGGGTGTTGTTCTTCCTGCATCGCTGCAGTACCGGAATCATCGGGTCGAGTCTTTTGGATTTGGCGGTCGAAGCCTTCCGGCTCTGAGGACAACACTGCCGATAGCCCATGCCCACGGATGGTCTGGCTCCAAGTACTTGCAGGCCAACAAGCTGACAAACATGAGCGTGGACACGCTTTTTGATGTCTGCGACGCTACTGAGCTGCAGTGCCAGAATCCTCCACCATCGCAGGATTCGGAAAGCTCTGGATCGACATGGCCTCAGAAAGCACGACAACTCCGACACGAACTCCAGGCTTCCGCAGTGGGCGCGCCCTTGTAAAATGTCGCAGCATGATTCCATAGGCAAACAGCCGAGACTAGTCCTCATGGCCATGTGTTGCCGACCACGGCATAACTTCAAGAACAAACACGACAAGTCGCGAAAGCCTGGGCTGCCTAGTCACCTGCTCTTGGCTGCAAGTGAAGGCCGCAGTCAGAGCCATGCGGACACCTCTGGACACGGCTAGGACCTGCAGAAGCCATCAGCCAGCTGCGTGACTGCCACTGTCTCCGCCCCACCCTGCTGGGAATTTACAACCACTGCTACCCTGAAATCCCTCTGACACTGGAATCCAACGAGTCGATATGCCAACAGTGGAAGGTCTTCAGAACAATAAAGGATGCCGCAATACTGGTAACTGGTAACTGTATTTGTCAAGATGGAGATGGTCGACCAACCTATAAGCGGTTGTTAGAAGACTGGCTCGTATGCAGAGACCACAACGGAGAAGTGAGTTGCCCAAAACACGAGACACGAGACCCGATTCGAAGCCACCTTGTGCGGGTTCTCTGCATCGCTGCTGAAGGCCACGATGCGACCCGCACGCGGCTCCACAGCTGCCGCAGGCACCCTGAAGCCCTCGCCCTTTGACTCCTGTCAAGGCATAGTGAGCTTGTGGCCAGGAGCATGTCAGAGGGCTGGACGGGATGATCGACTCGCCGAGATCACAGCCAAATCCTCGAAGATAAACTCGCCGCCATCGAAGTCCTCTCTTAACGGCTGTGCTGGCGCGCAATCCAGTCGTCTGCAAGTCGTGCTGCGTCGGTTTTCAGCATTGCCCCTGCACGTGTCCTGGGCTTCTGTGTTAAGGTACAGCAGGACCGTGTAGGCGAAAGTCCCATATTGCTCCGTATCCTTGGTGCAGAACAAACACTCTAACTGCCGAGCTGCTTTCAGTGAGGCCAAATCTGATCGTGTGCTGCTGACATGAGTGTAACTGTCCCAGCTGCAATATGGGAGTGCCAGTATTGATCATGCACCGTCTGAGCAGTCTTGCTGGCGTTGATGTGGGAGAAGAAGGTCATATCATGCCTCGCTCGCTGTGCAACAAGAGCGTCAGCCACTCAGCAGCTGTCCACTTTACAAGACAAGATGGCACCGCGCAGAACGACCTGCTCCTCGTGTCATCTGCAACCTCTATCACTTGGTACAACAGGTCCAAGCGACTGAAGCCCTTCCAGAGGTACTCCGAAAAGCCTGGGGACACGTGGTCAACAGTCCGAAACTCCAAGACAGTCCGCTCATTGATATGCATCTGCGAAAGACTTACAGAGTTGACGATCTCGCACTCTGTTTCTCTACCCGAGCTCTGGAGGGCTCACTGTGTGCATTGCCAGCCAAGCTTCCGGGACAGTTGTTCCCGAAGAGCCTGCCGCACAGAGCGATAAGCCTGACACGAGTGTGCCGCAGCCATGTAGCGTCTGGGCTGCCACCGAAGAGCATGCACTTAACAACAGTGATGACAGTGACGACAAAGGGTTCCAGAAGTTCAAGCGAGAATGCTAGTCTGGCTCAGCTACTTGCTGTGCACCGTATCTGTTGTGATGCTCCTCCGTCCGTCGATCAACAGCAGCACGTCGGAGCAGCTTGTCCTGCTTCAAACCAGCCTCGACCTGCTTCTGTGTGAACTTCAGGGACTTGAACTCCATGAACATCGTAAGGTTCACGAACTTATCCTGCTTCATACATAGCCAGTGCTTGCTATCACCGATGCTGTGGCCACATCATGCAAGATGCTAACGATGTGGCGTCACGATTGACACCTGCGCCTCAAGCATCCCTAGATCCAGAATGGTTTGATAGTAGAACCTGGTCGGCCAACTGATTTTGAGTAAGCCTCCTACACTCATCATACCTGTGAAGGTTGCGTTAGGGTGATTTTTTCCCTCCTACCTAGCAAGGACAAAGCCCGCAATGCAGGGTAACTTCGAAGCAATAGTTGACAAGGCTGTGTAGCATTGACAGCCAATTAAAGCCTCTGGAGCAGCGTGGCTAGGCGTTAGGGTGATTTAGGTGGAGGGGTTGCGCTAGAATAGCCGCACTTGCGTAGTCCGATGCCGGGCGGGGAAGACCCCTGGCTGGCTTTACTTTTATCATGTTCCCAGATCCAAGGCAGCCAGGCAAACTTTGACTCGTGCGCCATTCAACCGTGTGAGGGTCAGCTTTAATGCTTGTTCCTTGAGGTGAGCGGGTCGAATGGTCAAGGAAGGGCATGGCCTAAAAATCACACGTTCCACTCATCACCACGACGAGGGCTCCTTGATGGTCGAAGCTTTTGGAAGAAAGAGTGGTAAGGTTCTTTCGTTTATTGCGCTTAGGTATGTATCCTTTTTATCCTCGCATTTCATTTGCGTTAAACCCTTCTCCTTGTAAGAGAGCGTCTCTGCATGAAGGTCCAGCACACTGGGTGGCCCAGACCCACCTCCCCATGCCTGGCAGCATGCTCGGTCGTATTGGCAAAGCGAAGGCATCTGTCCCTACAGCCACTATCGAATGTCTGCAGGAGGCTTTCAATGGCGTCCGAAGGTTCGTCAGAGGAACAATCACTGCTTGTCGCTGCTCATCCAAAGCCTAGAGGTTCGGGATCTTGCAGGGCAGATGATGGCTGGACCATATTGAGCATCGGCAGAGTGGCTGGCGGGTGCCACAGTCTGTTCTGAGATGAGGGGGGCACAGACACAAATACTTGTTGGGCATCGTCAGGCAGCAGACGCCGGAGGGTCAACGGATGTTCAGTTGTTGGTGGTGGCTTGCTAGTGTCTGGGTCAGCATCGCCAGATAAAATGCGATAAGAACCAACCTCGGAGACGAGCCACTGCAGCAGATGCGCCAGCTCCTGCCAGAAAGTCGCTAGACTCCGATGTTGAGCTGAGGAGAAATACCCTCGACTGAAGCTGCAGCCAGTAGTAGTAGTAGTAGTAGTAGTAGTAGTAGTAGTAGTAGTAGTAGTAGTAGTAGTAGTAGTAGTAGTAGTCGTCGTAGTAGTAGTAGTAGTAGTACTAGTAGTAGTAAACGTAGTAGTAGTAGTAGTAGTAGTAGTAGTAGTAGTAGTAGTAGTAGTAGTAGTAGTAGTAGTAGTAGTAGTAGTAGTGGTAGTAGTAGTAGTAGTAGCAGTAGTAGTGGTAGTAGTAGTAGTAGTAGTAGTCGTAGTAGTAGCAGTAGTAGTGGTAGTAGTAGTCGTAGTAGTAGTAAAAAAGAAGTAGTAGTAGTAGTAGTAGTAGTAGTTGTTGTAGTAGTAGTACTAGTAGTAGTACTAGTAGTAAAAATAGTAGTAAAAGTAGTAGTAAAAGTAGTAGTAAAAGTAGTAGTAAAAGTAGTAGTATTAGTAGTAGTAGTAGTAGTAGTAGTAGTAGTAAAAGTAATAGTAGTAGTAAAAGTAGTAATAGTAGTAAAAGTAGTAAAAGTAGTAAAAGTAGTAAAAGTAGTAAAAGTAGTAAAAGTAGTAAAAGTAGTAAAAGTAGTAAAAGTAGTAGTAGTAGTAGTAGTAGTAGTAGTAGTAGTAGTAGTAGTAGTAGTAGTAGTAGTAGTAGTAGTAGTAGTAGTAGTAGTAGTAGTAGTGGTACGGCGATGATTTTTAAATACCCGGACATCTAAACAAGTTAAACAGGTGTGTCATACTACTTCCGTGGGCATTGTCTCTGGGCCGCCCAATTTTAAAACACACGGAAAGACAACAACACGAGACTCCAGCCCGCAGACTCCGTCCTCCAACCTTCGCCTCTCCAGCCCTCTTCCCAGCCCTTCAGCCCTCCAGCCTTCCAGCCTTCCAACCCCTCCTGCCATCCAGCCAACCTTCCAACCTTCCAGCCTTCCAGCAGCCTTCCAGCCTTCCAGTTTCAGCCCCTCCAGCCTTCCAGCCCCTCCAGCCTTCCAGCGCCTCCATGCAGCCTTCCAGCCCCGCCAGCCTTCCAACTGGCGCTGCGAATGAAGTGGAGGCGGATGAGGAGCGCTCTGCATGCACGTGAGCTGTTGTTGCAGCACGCTGGAGCTTGCATGCTGTGGACCATCTTAGCTGTTGAGTGGCAAGTGATGTGAAAACCATTTGCGCATTGCTCATGAGCACGGGCAATGAGATGAAAGGCTGAAGGCTGGAAGGCTGGAAGGCTGGAAGGCTGGAAGGCTGGAGGGCTGGAGGGCTGGAGGGCTGGAGGGCTGGAGGGCTGGAGGGCTGGAAGGCTGGAAGGCAGGAGGGCTGGAAGGCTGGAAGATTGGGGAGCCTGGAAGG